TAATCAACATTCTCCAAAGCTACAGGCAAATTGCTCTGTTTACTGTGTTTTGAAGATTGAAGTTTCTTCAAAAATGATATGCAACTAATAATCCCCATATTTTGTACGTGACATCTTCTTTGCTAATCAACTTTAATTCCAATTATTTATTCCTCTGTTCAATTATGGTAAATTATTTTGTTCTCTGTCCCTTTTTACTTATTCACTTTTGAATTGACACACCTATTAAGAATATAATTAATGACGAATAAGTTTATCATTTTACCCCTATTAATTATGAAGTGGATGAAAAGTTTTACATTTTTTAAAGTAATTACTCATTTAATTGTGAATATAATAGGTAAAAAAATATCGTTACTTGATTGATCAAAATAGACAAGTAATTAAAGACAACTATAAAAGAAAAAGAAAAGGCAACTAACTAGACAGACATAGTATATAACTTGGAAATGTCATTCAATTTTGCCTAGTTAGCTTTAATGGTCATTTTAGGTGCAAATATAATTTCTTTTTTTACCTATTTAATGACGTGTCAGCTATAATTTTTAAAATAAAATATTTGAGGAAATTGAAATAAATATTGATTTTATTTGGAACACAATTCATTAAAATTCAGTTTGCATAAAGAGCTCGCAAGTAGCACCTCTTTGTTGACCTTTGACTTTAAATCTTGGTTTGGTTTTCGAGTTTGAAACATAATACTCCTCTTTTGCATATTAAATTAACTTTTGAGGTACTTTTATTTTTTTTATTTTTCAAATTACTTTAATTGTTGAATTTTTAAAATTATTTTTAGAGTGTTATTTTAATTTTATTTTTTTATTAATTAGTATTGAAATTAGTGATTATATAATATTTAGTTATTTTAATTAGAAATTTAATAATAAATAATAAGGTTAAAAATAAAAAATTAAGTTTAATTTATATCTTGATTTTTAAAAAAAATGTGAAACACCTAAAAAAATTAACTAAATATGAAATGATGGAAGTAAGGGAGTGTATGCAAAAAGATTTGGGAAGAATTATAGTAAAAACATAGCTCTTCCTTTTTGAAATCATTAAATTTTAAGATTTTATAAATGCTTTTTTTTTAAATCGAAATTTTTATCAATTTTAGGTTAATTCTGAAAATTAGTTTTTATGCTCATCGCTTAGTTTTAAAAATCAGTAATGTACTTCTCAACCTCAAGATTCAAATTTTATTTTTCCAATTCGATAACCTAAATGAAAATTATCTTGAGAAATTTCTTTTTAAAGTAGGACTTTTTGCTTTCGTATATGTTAATCTTTTATCAATTTTTTTTCGTTATTATGATAGATTGAGTTTCGAATAAATTTAAATATTAATTCTATTTTCAATTAACAAAATTCTAAAATTTTACCAATCACATCATTACATAAGTATCAAAATTATATTTCAGCCTAAATGACTAGGAAAACGAAGAGCTCGTATTGACCTTAAAAAGTATATTTCAAAGTTAAATATTTATAGTCAAATTTTAAATTAAAAAAAATAAAAAAATAAGTAGATGCCTACTTTTGGTTTTAAACTTTTTTTTAAGTCATTTTAAATTTATTTTAAGTTATTTTTAATTTTATCAAACACTATCCAACTTACTTTTGATCATTTTTAACTTAAGTTAATTTATTGGGAAACTTTCACATAAAGCTACTTAAAAATAATTAATTACTCTAATGGCTATAGTTTTATAATTACAATTTGTAGCTACATGTTATTTAAAGGAGAGAGGCGAGCGAAAATGAGAGAGAGAGAGGGGAGAGGAGAGAGTCGAGAGAGAGGGGGAAAAGAGTGGGAGAAAGCTGAATTGTATATGTATATTGATTAGATTTATTTTAGTCTCAAGGAAACAAGACGTTGTGTTATATTGAAGAACAAATCTAAATTTAGAAAAATTAATAACTTGGTTATTGTATATTATACATATGTAGTTGTATATATGGCAAGAGAGATTGGGAGAGGAAGGAGAGAGGCGAGGGAGACGGGAGAGAGGAGATCGAGATTGAGAGAGGCGAGCGAGAGAGGGCAGAGAATGGGAGAGAGGGGAAATGTATATATATATAATTGTATATAACTGTATATTATACATATACATTAGTATAAATGGCAAGCGAAATTGGGAGAGGGAGGAGAGAGGCGAGTGAGATTGAGAGAGGGAGGATAGAGGCAAGCGAGAGAGGGCAGAGAGTGGGAGATAGGTGAATTGTATATGTATATAGGCTAAACGATTGTATATTATACATATTTATTTGTATATCCTAACGAATTATACATATACAAACATGATTAATTATACAAACTCGAAGTCAGCCCACGTAATTAATGTATAATGTTAGTTGCGAGTGGTAATTATATCAAACTATACCTATGATGATTAATTAAATAGTATAAGTTTGTTTATTCACTTAATTTTTTAAACTTATTTTTATATTTTTCAATCACTTTCAAAAGTCAAAAACTGACTTAAAAGTAAGTTTAACCAGCTTTTAAGTTTATCTAAAAATCCTCTAACTTTGATAAAGTTAAATGAATTTTAGAAACAAAACAAAATTAAATATCTATCATAAATAATTTTTTTTTTAATTTTAAAAACACACTATCATCCAAGCTTCTAACTTTATAAACTATATTAGAATTTGGCAAAATAAAAGCAAGAAAATCCTAAACACATTAGACTGGACTCTGTTACTTTGATCTTGATTTTTATCATTTTGTTAGTTGTCCTTTCCAATTATTAAAATAAAAAATTATCACTGGTATATGGCATTTTGTGTCAGGCAGATTTGATGTAGTTGGTACAAAGATCCAATAAATGACAATACCCTATAATTGTTGTATAGAATCTAATTTATTATACTATTTGAGATGTAACCAATTTCAATAAAAAAGAATAGGAAATGTTATCATCTTTGGACATTCAATATAAGTCATTTTATTAAAAAAATGGTTGAAATTATTGTTTCTTGCCTTGAAGTTAAACTAAAAATGAAAAAAATAATTGAAAAAGTGAGATAATGTGGAGGATTGTAAAATATTACTATAGCATACATAAAACCAACTCTGGTTCTTTCTTCTGTGGGCCCTTTGGCCACAGATTACTTGGCAATATATTTGACAAATAAAAAAAAATTTCCCCTCTAAAATTATATCAAATTTTATATTTTATTAAAACGCCTATTATTTATAACTTTGTAATAAATTTCATTTTTAATCAAAATTTATATTGTTATATACATATTTTATATATTTTTTATTCGAGCTTGCTCTCTATAGTCATTTTCGATTACAAGCGTAATAGTAATTTTTCGTATACAAATAAATGATATTTTCTCATTTGTTTTCTTTCCTTTTTGTTCAAATTTATATTAATTATGTTTGTTGTTATGATTTTTCATGGAACATATTCATTATAAAATGCTAATACAAATTTATGAATATTTTAGTTATATCTTTTTAAAAATTAAATATTTCTTTCAAAATTTAAATTATTAAGTCAACTCTGTAGTACTTTTTGTGTTCTTTGTTTTCTTTAATTGAAAATTCTAATTGTTCAGTTAATTAACTATTTAAAATTTTAATATAATTTTTTCGTTGCCCCAACTTTTAATTAATATCAGGGTGCATAACTTAATTAAAAGGGGAAAGAAAGCATTTGGTAATAAATAAAGCTACCTCTATAGAATAAAAAAATACTAGGCATTAATTCATCGTGAATTATCATTCAATTCTCATTTTGCAAGAGAATTACCTCCACAGAGACAAAATCTTGGAATATTAAATCTATCTTTTATCTGTTGTTATATATAATTTATCTAATTTTCAACATTACAAATTCGACGTATTAGAAAATGATGCCTAATTTCAAGCATATCCCTTTAACTATGTACAATTTCAAGCGTATTTCATCTTTTTATGATTTGTTTACATTTTAATTAAAACGAATTCCAAGTTAACGTACTTTTTCACTCATACATCTTTAAAATAACTACTATAACTTATCGAACTTTTTTTGCTTTTATATACTAACTGTTATTTTTTCAAAATATATTGCCAAAAACCTTTTCTTACAATTTGTCCAAACAGTTGAATACGGGCATAAACTTCATTTTTAAAAAAGCTAAATAATTTTTATGTGAAAAGAAGATTAAATAATCACAGTCAAATAAATATTTGCAAATGCTGAAACAGACAAATAGTATTTATGCTATAGTTTTATATTATAATTTGTAAGCTGACAAAATTGAATATATAGGAGTCATAGGGAGGGATGTGTGTGTGGGGGGATATACATTAATGTTACGGTTTGGCGAGTTAATCTTTAATTTGTGTTGTTTGAGATTGAATTTATACTCAACGATGCATCAGTTTTTATGAACCATTATTATATACAAATTAAAATTTATACTTCACAAAATAGTTATATCTTGTGAGAGAAAACATTAAAGAATAATATTAAATAGGGGCAAAAATACAAATGACTTTTTTTTTAGTCCTCCCTAGAAGAGCTTTCGCTCTTTTTGCTCTCTTAGAGTTTCGAATTTACAAATTTTAGATTGAAAGTGAGAGGTATTCACTATTCGAACAAATAACTCGATAAAGAATATTATTAGATATTTTTCATATTTACTCTTAATTAATAAAATTTTTAACTACTTTACATTTTTTAAAGAGAATAGTTTGAAAATAATCAAAAGAATAATAATAGAAAATAACTTTTAATTTATATTCTTAAATATTATCTTTTGCCATCTCCCAACAATGGACTCGATATAAATTAGGAGTAATTTGTAATGATTTAGAGAATAAATAATTAGCGTTGAAGATAATTTTTAAATAAAAATAAATAAGTGAAAGTGAATAGAGATAACGGAGGCGTAAACAGAGCTTGTTGACATTCAGTCAGAAATTTCATGCTCGTAACTCCTAAATACTATCGACGTATTTATTATTTATTTAGACATGTATTTGTATAAAATCCCGTCACGCTAACTTTTGCTTGCTCGCTCACTCACTCATTTTCATCTATCATGAATCCTTTTTTCAATATTTCAAGATTGAATGGGTTGTTACATGCTCTAAACAGAGTTCGAGTTCACCCCATTTTGAGTCAGAGGTCTCGTTATTTGTCCCAAATTATTCATGAGAATGTTGAAACTCACCCATGGGAATCCATGGAGGGACTAATGAGGTGTTCAGCTAATTATTTCCCTTTAACACCCATTAGTTTCTTGGACAGAGCTGCTAAGGTTTTTAGAGACAGGACTTCTGTTGTGTATGGTTCTTCTGTTAAATTCACTTGGGAAGAGACTCATAATAGATGTCTAAAGATGGCTTCTGCTCTGTCTCAGTTGGGTATTTCTCGTGGTGATGTTGTAAGTTCGATTTCTCCGCTTTAGAATATTACGTCTAAATGAATGGTTAATAGTATATGGCTAAACTTTTTCATCTTTGGAATAAACTTCTACTAACATTTTAGTTTGATCACATATGAAAAGTTTTTAAATCTGTGATGTCTCATGGTTGTTAGTGTAAATGCTTGAATAGGTTGCAACGCTGGCTCCTAATGTACCCGCAGTGCAAGAGTTGCATTTTGCGGTTCCAATGGCAGGAGCAGTGCTTTGTACGTTGAATACACGTCATGATTCAGCTATGGTATCTGTTCTCCTGAGGCATTCAGAAGCTAAGATCATTTTCGTTGACCAGCAGTTGTTTGATGTTGCTCAAGGAGCACTGGATCTTCTTGCAGATGCTAAAACAAAACCTCTTCTAATATTAATCCCTGATCCTGAAAATCTACCGCCTCCTGTTGCTGCTCCCAATGTTCATGAATATGAAACTCTTCTGGCAAGTGGGCGCGATGATTTTGCTATAAAGTGGCCGTTAACTGAATTTGACCCTATTAGTGTCAACTATACTTCTGGGACAACGTCACATCCTAAAGGAGTCGTTTACAATCATAGAGGTGCATATCTCAATGCTATTGCAACTCCTTATACTCATGAGATGGGCTCTATGCCTACTTATCTTTGGACTGTTCCAATGTTTCACTGTAACGGATGGAGCCTTACTTGGGGCGTGGCTGCACTTGGTGGCACGAATGTATGCCTAAGACGTGTCTCTCCTAAGGACATTTTTGAGAATATATCCCTCCACAAGGTCACACATATGAGTGCTGCACCAACGGTCATGAATATGATTGTAAATTCACCAAGAAGTGACCGCAAACCACTTCCTCACAAGGTTGAAATAACGACAGGTGGTTCACCACCGCCTCCTCATATCATTTCCAAGATGGAGGAGTTAGGCTTTTCGGTATCTCATATATATGGTCTCACAGAGATTCATGGTCCCTGTATGTCTTGCCTTCATCAGCCAGAGTGGGAATCATTACCTCCTGATGAACGATTTGCTCTGAAAGCAAGACAAGGAGTGGAGCACTATTTTACGCAGGGAATTGACATAAGAGATCCTGATACAATGGAGATGGTTCCAGATGATGGAAAGACCCTTGGTGAAATTATGATTAAAGGGAACACTGTGATGAGTGGATACTTGAAAAATGTTAAAGCAACAGAAGAAGTGTTCAGAGGTGGATGGTTTCATACTGGCGATCTTGCTGTGAGACATCCAGATGGCTACATAGAAGTTAAGGACCGGATGAAGGACATTATAATCTCTGGAGGTGAAAATATTTGCTCGGTTGAGGTGGAAAGAGTTTTGGTCAGTCATCCTGCAGTCCTTGAAGCAGCTGTAGTAGCAAGACCAGATGATCACTGGGGGCAGACACCTTGTGCTTTCGTGAAGTTGAAGGAAGGATTTAGTCTTGGCTCTGAAGATATAATCAACTATTGTCGGGATCATTTGCCTCATTATATGGCTCCCCGGACAGTCATATTTGAAGATCTACCAACAACTTCTACGGGCAAGATACAAAAGTTTGTCCTAAGGGAAAAAGCAAAAGCCTTAGGCAGTCTTTGTGAAATCAAAAGAGAGATTGCAGTCTGAAGAGTACTTGAGACTATAAGCCTTATTCTTGTAACACTTGTTTAGAAATTTCCAACATTAACTCTTGGCTCTTCTGTTTGTAATCTTATGCTTGAGGTCATACATAACAAAGCTTTTCTATGAATAAAAAAGGCTCAAGCATTGTCAGTGTGTACAATTGATTAACTTGACAATCTCTCTTCATCCAGTGTTTTCGACTAAAGAGAATTGGAACAACATTTACTGTATTTGTGTAGCTTATTGCTTAAAAGAGTTAAAGGATTGGCACATACACATAAAGCAAAATCAACAAACAAATTGCTGCAGAAGTTGTGCAAATAAGTGGAGTAATCAATGGTACTAGATACATAAAAGAATATAAATTACATAATGCATATTCAACGGATACCAAAACATGAAACTGAATGAGGAAGGACACTTATGTCTTTCATCCGTAGATTCAAACACTGCAAATTAAAGCCTAAACATATCATGATATGCTCATTAAACTAAAACTTACTAGTCAAAAGGGGCATTATCAGTACCAATATTTGCTATTTTTTTTGAAAAGGACCAACGACACATAGGGCATCGGTGGTTTATCTCCAGCCATTTGATGATACAATGTAAGTGAAAAGAATGCCAGCACGGTAAGATTGCTATGGTCTCTCCAAGGGAAGGATCATTGATACAGATGGAACACATAGGATGTACTGGATCACCATGTTTTAAAGTCCATCTATACAATATTTCAAACGAAAATGGATTTACACCTCTGTTTGTTGGATTAGGAGGAGGAACAATGGGAGGAAGACGAAACTCGGTGTTGGTATTGAGAAGAACACGAGCACGAGCAGTATTAATATCTTCACCATCTTGTTGAACATAAATAATAGTAAACGACATTACTATAGGCACAATTTTACTAGCACTATTTTGAGGATCATTTATCTGTGATGTAGCAAAAGTTGAAACCTGTTCAGCTACATCAGAAGCAGAGTCTTCAGAGATACCTAACATATTGCAAATTACTCGTGCCTTAATTCTGCATTGTGTCAAAAAATCAAATTTAAATACATAAGGTTTCACCGCGGACTCAATCAGTTCATGAACAACTTTTTCATCATCGTTGTCAATTTTTTCGAGTACATAATCAACTTTACATTCGATGTAGAATACGTTTTCACCACAACCGGACCAATCCCAATTATTCATGATATTGTCGTCCCGATACATGTCTAGTTCATAACGGTCACAAAAGCTACAGTTATTTTGTACCGGGTCCGGGAGAGACATCTTTTGCAGAAAATTACAGTAGAGCAAGAAGGAAGATAAAATTAGACAAGAACAAAAACAAACTTTAATAAGAAGGGATTAATGTAGGTTTAAATTACTTAGATTAGGTTAATGAGGTTTTCCCACTACAAGCTGAACTCGGTTATAGCATCCCTACATGGTTAAGGAAACTAGATTTTCAGAGATAATAATAATAGAGAAATATTACATCTTTACGGATATTCAAGTTTTGATATTTAAATAAATCTATTTTTTCCTGCAATTTTTTTTTATATCTTTTATATTGTCTGTCATTTATAGTAGTTTTTAATTTATATTTTAATTTTTAAATATATAAATTTTATTTTAAAAAGTTTAAGATTTCAAGCTTGTCATAATAAATCGAGACAAAGAAAAAAACTATTAATTAGTTAAAAACAATATGAAAAATCAGTTCTCAAAGATTTGCTAATCCTTCGGTTAAAAAAGGAAAAAAAATCAAATTTGGCGCCGTATGATCTGAAATTTAACAATTTTGTTATTTGTTAAACTCTTGCTTTAATATGTCACTTGGTCATTAGGAAAATATTTTGTTTTTGCCCTTTATGGAGTTCAAATTAATTTTAAAATATAGTTAAAATGGAGAGGTAAATTTGAATATGTGCAGTCCATTTATTCCATGCTGAAACTTGTTAATGAGAGGATATAATTTATTTAACCTAAGTAGATTTAACATAATTTGTAAGTAGCAAAGTAGATTGTACAATTTACATGTTTAAATGTAATAAATCATTTGTAATACTTAGTAGTATATTAATTTATAATATTTTTAAAAATATTGATTGATTTATTTTTTTACCAAAGGTGTAAAAAAGAATTTCAATAAAAATGTTTATCCTATTAAATTTCATAGAATTAAATACATACAAAAAGAAGATCATGATTTAGTTGCATATGCTGACTCTTATTATTATTTATAATAAATTAAAAAGAAAACACTTACACATCTTATATAGTGGAAATCTTATGCAAAATTGAACGAATATACTTGTACTAACAAATACACCCATTATTTTTTGAAATCAAACACTTACATTTTTGTTTATGAAGTTTAAACGGCAGGATATTGTTTGAGATTGAGGCGTAGTATATACGGAGACTTAACAGAGCCACAGTACAAATGATCACCAATCTTAATGCCACTTGACACCATTGTCAAATCCTCATCATAATAGTGTTCCAGTGGATTTCCTTGTAAATCAACAGATAAAACACCACCATTTTTCTCTGTCTTTGGTTGTCCAACATATTTCACCATTATAGCCATTATCTTTCTGATGAATGGGTACTTTAGGGTCAAGTCCCATGAATATGTGTTTTCCTGTTCAAGTTATCAGAAACAAAATATGAGAGAGCAGTGTACCCTGTTGAACACATTAAATTTAAATGTTATGAAGAAACTAACCGAGGCAAATGCAATCCAATAATGCCCTTCACCATCGTAACGAATGTTGTCAGGAAATCCAGGTAAATTATCAACAAACATATCCACGGATCCTTTTTTTTCGCCTTTTATATGATACTTTTTGCATTTCCTCCTAAAAAAAAGATGGCAAATGAGAAGTATTTTTCTACATATCTGCTGAGTAAATTAAAAATATGAAGAGTACTTACAGAGGAGTTTCACAGAAGATAACATAATTTTGATCTGGAGAGACTGCAACGCCATTAGCAAAATGCAGGTTGCTAAGTAGCGTTTTAGTCTGTTTAGTTGATGGATCATAACTTAACAATCTTCCATGGGGTCTTCCTTCAAGAAAATCATAAATGTATTGTTCGATATTATATTTGTAAGAAGCATCGGAGAAATATATAATTCCATCCTCTGCAACGTCTACAGCGTCTGCCAATTTCAATTTCAGGCCTTCAGCTTCCTCTGTTAGCACTTTAATTTCACCCTCAGAAGTAACGTTGAGTAATAATCCCTGTCACACTTAAACATTTCATTCTAAATAATTATACAAGGTTATTTTATACTGAACTGATATCAAAATAGTGTAAATACGGAGGAATTAAGATATCTTGTCTTCAGATCTCACTGTTATCACTCGAAAATGGTGTGATTTTTATATTTCCGTTGTAGTCATACCATCAAAACAAAATAGTCCTGCGTGCAATTTCACGCGTGACTATTATTTGTCTACTATGCTACCTCTGTATCGTAATTTATTGAACAATTACCATTAATGTAACCAATGTATCTCCATATTTATCAGTTTCATTATTAGATAGTAATACTTCCACCGTTGCAAAATCGTTTGAAAAAGAATAACCTAGTATAAGTCTTATTTGTCTGCACTTAATAGAGATCTGAATCTTAATCATTCAAATTCAGCCTATTAATTACATTTGATTTTTAGGTCTTAATCTGAATCATTCAAATTCACTACATTAAATTCACTTATTTTATTTTTTTAAAAGGCTCTTAATGGGTATGAAGAGGTTTGAATGAATCAGATTTGTAGGAGATTCTTAACAAGATTCATTTGATAAGTTATCAAATAATAAATCATCGTTTTTCTGCTTTGAGTGTGCCTTTTTATCTCATAATTAAAAAAAAAAAATCTCTTTTCTCAATCAAATACCATTTTTTCCCTCTTGAACTAGTAAGATTTCATATATCCTTCAAGTATTTTCTTATATTAATAATTTTCTTGTAAACACTGTTGATGTATTGGAATAATTTTTTTTATGACATTTTATTAATTAATGTTAATTTCACATGCACATTTAGCTATTGAAAACAAAAAATGTTTAGATTTAAAGATCAAATTTTAATATTCAGATCAAAACACCTGAATCTTAATGCAACTCTTAATATTCAGATGTGTATTCAGATTCAAACCTCTAAATCTTAATGAAAACAAATGAAACCTAACTTGAAACAGAGTTTAAAAAAAAACGTATTTCTAAATTAAAGTTATGTGAAAATGTCCTTTAAAATTAAAGTGTTGCCAAAAAAAATAATTATTTCCTTCTAAGCATATTAAAAAATAAATAACATCATCCTTTTTAAAACAGTAAATAATATTTTCAAAATAAAACATCAATCAATATATCCATTTTCTGATCATGTACTAAACATAGGAATAAGTAACAAATTATAATGGTAGGGTATACATCGATAACTAAGGGCATGTGCTCAAGGGTATGTCAGACTTTTTTTCATTCCTTTATTAATCAACAATTTCTTCCCAAAAGAAAAAGAAAAAGAAAAAGAAAATTGACCTTTTCTGAATCTGCAACGATAACTTCGCCGTGATGTCCTAGAGCAAGCCCGAGAGGTCTGCCACCGGTGAAAACCCAATCCTCCACCGTGGAATCCGCCGCCGATTCGTTGACTTTCACTTTTTTAACCCACCCATCAACACACGCAGTGTATATAACTCCCGATTCCGGATCGTAGGCTACGTCTTCGGGTGCTAATAGCTGGTTAACTCCGATGTTTTCGGAGCCACGGAGCACCTGGTTATTGCGCTTTGGTGCAACAATAGGCGGGTCAGTAGAGAGCACATGGGTCGGATAAGAAACCGGGTCGAAGGAATCGAGTTGATAGAAAACCGTACCTAGAATAACGGGTATTATTAGTGAAATAAAAATAGGGTTTAGAAAGATGGAGGGAGAAGTCATATTTGCAGTTGTTATTGTAGAAGAAGAAGAAGAAATTGGGGCTAGTGTGAATAGAAGAGCAGATGAAGGATTAACATTTGAGATAATAACAAATCGTCAGCAAAGAAGAAGGTATGTGTTGACTCGTATTCCTCTTTGTTTCCATTCTTATCATAACAAAAAAATAAAATTTGGTTCCTATCTACTACTCCATTTCTTTCTATCATAACCATATTTCGGACTAATTATATTACTTTATCAACTTTGAGGTATTTTAAACATTTTTCTATATTTTTATTAAAAATATAATGTTTTCGCAAAAGTTTAAACTTGAAATCACTTTGTTATGTATATATAAAATTAATAATTTGTGTGAAGTTTAAAAATATTTTTAATATTTTTCTTTTAAAAAAAAAAGACTAAACCAATACCTTTTACTTTACTTTGCCTCTCATTTACAGTTTCACACTTATCATTAAAAAAATAAAAGTATGTTTTGCAGTTTATAATAAAAAAAAGTTCAATTTAATAATCTCTAAATTTAAACTTCATGTGATGATTAAATTAAAAAAACTATGCTAAAGTACTTTCAAAAATAAAAAAAATGAATGGCTGATAAAAGTAATGGTAACGTATAAAATATGATGAGTGAATTAATAAATTGAACATTCTAGTATGTTTGAAAAATTGTTGGCCGCATAGACCGGTTTAGCGATTCGCACGCTCCTAATTATTTATTCTTGATAAAGCTATTTGCATATAATGATAGAGTAGGTAAGTTAATTATTTACTAAAGATGATTTATATTAATAAAGTTATTTAGGTTAAATCATTTCATTTTAATTTACTATTAAACAGTAAGTAGTAAAGTAAATTATTAATGACATATTGATTGAATGGGTTATTGTTACCTTATATGACTTTTTGACAATATTAAGTTAGGCCTGAAGTTGGTTCGTTTTAAGATAGACTTAGAGGTTTTCGTGGTTCGATTTGGATCTATTATTGATTAAAATTAAAATCAGATTAATTTTAATCGATTTTTAAAAATTTAAAATCAAACCAAATCAAACGAAAAAAAGTTACTATCGGTTTGATTCAATTTTTCTGGTTTATTTGGTTTGAAAGTAATAATTTTGTCGAGGATATACGTATCTCGATAGACACAAACACTAAGTACATGAACAATCTACAAAAAAAATTAATGTCGATTTGGTGAAACAATTAAGCAATATTAGATATATCATTACACGAACAAAGTGTTTTATTTAAGAGAAAATTTGACTATTTTATGTGAAGTACAGTAGATAAAGACTAAACTAGATTTTGATGGACTTGGATTTGAGATTGTTATACTTGGGTTAAATTATTGACTTGAGAAAATAGTAAAGTTAAAGACTTAAAGTTAATTAAAATTTAACAAAATAATTTTAATTTATTTATGCAATAATATATAAATAATTATAAAATTTATGTATCTAATTTATCGATTTGGTTTGATTATTTTTGCACTTTTTAGTAAAACCAAAACCAAATCAAATAGTAGGGATTTTTCAAAATTTAAAAACCAAACCTAACTAAACTAAATCAAATATCCAATTTTTTAATTGATTTGGTTTGAATTGCAATTTAATTTGGTTGTTAACCATAACCATGAACAACCCTAAATATAGTATTAAACGTCGATTATATTATTGATTTATTGTTGGTTTACCCTTTGCAATAAGGTTGAATTCAAATAAAAAGTTACTCAATATTTGCACTTGTAATATCAATTGATTACCTTAAATGCAAAAATTATAACGAGTGTGAATGTTAAACAATTAAACAAAGTCATACATCAATTAAACATAACATCTTGTAATGTATGGAGATAATTATAGCTGTCAATATAGTTTAGGTTCGTTGGGCTAATCTGACTTAACAAGCGATTTAATATGGGTGGACTAAGATATTTGAGGCTCATTCAAGAAAAGAGTTTTTTACTTCGGCCCGAATAAGTTTACTGATTTGTGGAGCTTAAGAAATATCGGTAGGATCGGTCCGTAGGTCAATAAAAAATAATTAAAAAATATAATATAAGATTAAAACTTAAAATTAAAGAAAGTCCAAACTCAAAACAATTAAGTTAATATTTCTTTTTAGTTATTTATATTTTTACTTGAAAAAATTATAAGTATTATAAAGATAATTTTATTTGTAGATTTGAATAACAAGGAATAACATTAACATCATGTAATATTATTTTGTTGATATTTATGATAATATTTTTAATTATAATTTATAATTTAATTTAATAATTATGAAAAAAATATAATTTTTTTAAAAGTAAGCTGGCCGGCAAGCCTGTAGCCCGTATTGTGGGTTGGGCCGACCACACCAAAAATAGGCTAACCTGGCCTGACCTGTAAAATGTCAAAGCATGATTAGCCTGGATGGGATAGGTTAGCCTATATTGATAGATCTAGATAATTATATAAACCTTCTTATTTTCAGTGAAGCCAGGCAATGGCGGAGCTACAGTGTCTCGAGAGTGTCCAATTGAACACCCTTTGCCGGAAATTATACCATATATACAAGTAAAATGTTATTTGTAACGATTAAAAAAATTAAATTGGACATTGTGAGCACATGGGTTCGAATTCCCACAACTGCAATTTTAAATACAACACTTTTATTTTATCATTTATTAACTTATTTATTTAATTGTCTAAGCTAATTAAATCACATTCTTAATTAAAAATTTAGGTTTACTAGCTAATTGAAATTTCATTAACTTCATTATTTAATTGTCTAAGCTCATTAAATTACATTCTTAATTAAAAATTTAGGTTTACTAGCTAATTAAAATTTGTTTAACTTATTTCTTTAATTGTCTAAGCTAATTAAATTACATTCTTAATTAAAAAATTAGATTTATTAGATAATTGAATTTCGATGTATTTGACTTTTTATTTCCTCCCATTAACATTTGAAATAAAACTTAATTTTAAATACAACACTTTTATTTTATTACCCATAACTTATTTCTTTAATTGTCCAAACTAATTTAATTACATTCTTAAATAAAAATTTAGGTTTACAAGCTAATTGAATTTCAATGAATTGGACTCTTTATTTCCTCCCATTAAAATTTGAAGTATAACTTCATTTTAAATACAACACTTTTATTTTATTATCCATTAACTTATTTTTTTAATTGTCTAAACTGATTAATTACATTCTTAATTAAAAATTTAGGTTTAGTAGCTAATTGAATTTCAATGAATTTGACTTTTTATTTCTTGTCATTAAAATTTGAAATAAAACTTAAATGTAATTATTTAATTTAAAATTAATAAACAAAATCTAAACTATTTCTGTAAAACAATTAAAAGCAAACAAAAAGAACCCCTCATTTGATTTGCGTCTATTATTCGTGTTTCGTTATTGTTGTCATCACCAGAGATTAGTGAAAGCTTGAAATGTAAAAATGATTTCATTTTATGCTTAATGCTCCCATCTTTTTCTTTTTTTCTTCTTGTTTTATTCGTTCACTTTATATTAAATTAAACACAAATATTAAAACTAAATATTATGTAGTTTGATTTTTAAAATTTTGGAACATTTATTCGTAAAAAGAAGTAATATTAGTATTATGTAGTTTAATTTTTAATTTTTTTCAATGCATCTATTTATAGAAAAAAATACTTATATAATATTTGGACACGCTTCGTAAAATTTCTAGCTTCGCCACCGAAGCCAGACTTGAAAGTAGGTTTCTTAAATTATTTCTTTTATTTTTATTTATTTTTGGAATAGCTTTGTGGGGAAACTTATTTTAATCTGAATGATATTATTGATATAAATTATCAATAAATGGACGATCATAAATGTTCATTCTAATAATGCTAATTACTTGACGATATTTTTCTTTTCCTTTTCTGTCAAAAATGAAATACTCCATACCTAATAATTGCCTTCATGTCTCTCTTGATCGAGAATTTAATCGCTTGTGAAATGAATTGTAAAGTTGTCAATTTAGGACAATTTCCTGCCTTATATAGGAAACTTATAAAAATGATAAATAAAGTTTTGCAATCAATAATTGCCCCAAAGTACTAAATATATGGTCTAACGTGTTTAAGACGAAAGGTAACACTTTGAAGCTTATCATTATTACTAGCACAAGCCTAATATCTATTCTTTTAATGTCAGTTTATATGATATAAATAAAAATTAGAGAGTTTTTTACTTAATTTTTAAATAATACTTATTACTTCCTGTGTCCCAATGTACGTAGAACAAATAGAATTCAAGATGTTGAAGAAAAAGAAAACTAACGATTGAAACATGTCAAAGGAACAGGGTCAGCGCAGTTGACTGACTTGTCTACATCAAGTGTTGATGAAGAAGGAAGCTGAGGTTGGAACATGTCGAAGGAACATGCCTAACGAAGCTGACTGGCGAGTTACAACACTGGTGAAGAATTAGAGTTACGCTAGGATTAGACTATCTATGTTAATCAGGATTATATTTCGTCTAGAAGTATATTTATGATTAGGATTATAGTACAACTAGGATTAGATTATTTATAATTACATTATTATTATTATTATAGTAGTAATATGTATTGTAATAAGACTCTAAGTACTGTTAACTTAAAACTCTACAATTCTCTCCTACATTAAGAGTATGTACTTAACATTATCATTCACCAATTCATCAATAATTGATCACATATCAATTCATCAACAATTGATCACATATCAATAAAATCATTATTGATCAATATGATTAATTCATCAATAATGATCACATATCAATATATTATACAATCCTTGATTTCTCTACATGAGAAATCTACATGGATTTCTTCATGGTATCAGATTTCTTAAAGTTCTTCCGCTCTCTGAGTATTGATCATCATAAAAAAAAAAAAACCTAAAAAAATCCACATGTTGCAATGGTCCATTGAGAGTATATTATGTAATATAGCTTTAGTTTAAATTATTTTTAATCTGAGGCTATAGTTTGGCGAAATTTTGCTATTTAGTTTACCAAATGTATAAAATTAAATTTGTATACTTCGATTCCTGATGGTAAAGAATTAGAATTCATATATGCTTATCTTAACCATTTGTATACTATTTATGAAAAAAATCATAATAAATTACCATGTTTGTGTACTGGCTAGCTAAATATACAAACGGAGTTATCAAAAATTTCTAAATGTAGAAATACAAACTTTGCATATGGTGAGCTTGTTTGTATATTCACAAGTGAAATATATAAACCACAACCTCCATAATAAGTAAGATTATAGCTATGAAACACAATCACCGAAATCATAGTTATTAAACTTTATTGTGTCTATTATCTTTGTTATTTCTGATTTTTTTTTTCCAATTTCTTATTTTTCTCTCAAGAGCCTAAGAAGTTCAAACATAACAACTGAGGCAAAATGTCTTTGTATGTATATCATTGTCAACACTTACTTTTCTCATTCAAATATTGTATGGTACTTTTGCGTTGTATAATTAAGGGTGTATATTAGTATATCTTATGTCTACAGGTTTATTTGACAAAAAAATACATTTTTTTTGGGTTATGATCTTTAGTTTTATGAATGTTATGATGATGTATATTAGGAAAAATTGAATTGGTGTTTTTATTGTATTTGTAGAAATTGCATAATGAATAGGAAAGAAATTTCTTTAAAGAAAGAGCAAATTGGACTGAAACAACAGGAGTTTGGTCACTTTTGTGGGTAGATCCACCCAAAGTCCAAAACCCAATTGGACCGACATGTAGTTTTTCCTATTTTTACAAGGGCGAAGGACAATAATCACAGATAAAATTACCATTAGCGTTGATACATTTATGTGACGCGTGAGATACATTAATCATTAAATAAGATACATTACATTTTTTACATGTTACACTGATTTGATTTACATTTATACATGATGATACATTAATTTGGTGCGCGAGATACATTAATTTGATGCATTGATACATTAATCTGATTTCTATCATTTATCCGTTTTATAATAGGGAATAATGGTAATAAGAGAACTTAAAGGTGAGATTTCTATCATTTATCCATTTTATAATAGGGCAACTTTCACATATAGCAAACATAAAATTCATATTTGTATGTTATAGCAAAATTTGCATAATTGCGCTCTATAGCAAACATATATATGTATAATTTGTTATACATATACAGTTGAATCGAATTGTATAAATTGATTTGTATAAAACGAGAAAGAGAGAAATTATATACAATTTGAATTTGTATAAAACGAAAAAGAGAGAAAGGTAAAAGAGACTTGGGCAACGAATATACAATTGAATCGAATTGTATAAAACGAGAAAGAGAGATTATATACAATTTGAATTGTATAAAACGGGAAAGAGAGAAAGGCAAAAGAGATTTGGGCACGGAAATATTTGTATTGTATAATTATAAGTGTATAGGACGATTATATACAATTCAAATTTGTATAAAATGAGAAAGAGAGAAAGACAAAAGAGACTTGGGCAGGGAATATACAATTGAATCGAATTGTATAAAACGAGAAAGAGAGAAATTACATACAATTTGAATTTGTATAAAACGAGAAAGAGAGAAATGCAAAAGAGACTTGGGTAGTTAAATATTTGTATTGTATAATTATAAGTGTATAGGACGAAAATATATGTAATATATGCATTTGCATGTGTATATATACAATTTTCTCTCGCTTTATACAAATGAGAACAGAGTTTATTATACATTTCTATTGTATAAAACGAGAGAGGCGAGCGACAAGGAGCGATCGAGAGAGGGAGAGTGGCGAGCAAGAATATGAGGGAGAGAGGCGTCTGACAAACAGTTTGCTATGGAATACAAATAAATCAAACGGTAGCTACTGTATTTATTTTACATTATTAGTTTGTCATTTTAAACAATTATCCCTTTATAATATAATTAAAAAAAAAAAAAAAACTTAAAGTTTTCAATATTATTAATGTCAAATTAACTTTTTAAACAAAGTTCCAATCAAGTAAATTCATGCCAAATACATAAATTTATTTGGGATCATGAGCAATGTTTTTGCAAGACTGAAAAAGGACAATTTTTATTAAGGCATGCATATTTCAATGTTTTTTTTTTTTTTATGGTGGGGAGGGAATATATCGAAATTCGAATCCCCACCACTAGGATGAAGGTGTGGGCAGCTCGCCAACTGAGTTGCACCCAACTTGTAGACACAACTTCATTGCATTGTTGACCTTGTCCCTAAGTATAAATTTCTGTATTTTCCCTGAAGAATTGAATGGTAAATCACCAAAGATTACTGCCTTAGGAACCATGTAATCCTGCAGCCAATCTTCACAAAACTTGATAATTTCTTCATCAGTCATAAAACACCCTTTTTTCAGTTTCACAAAAGCACAAGGGGTCTCTCCAAGAACATCATCACATCTTGCTACAACTGCAACTTCCAAAACCATAGGATGCCTAATCAAAACACCTTCAATTTCAAGTGTGCTTATAGTTTTCCCATCAGTTTTGACTACGTCAACAGCGCGATCCTTCAACTTTATATTCCCATTTGCATATTTAACACCAAGATCTTTAGTCCTATACCACCCTCCCTCAAAAGCTTCTTCAGTTCTTGATGAATCTTTCAAGTACCCCATCATCATAGCATTGCCTCTAAACATGATTTCCCCTGTGGTTTTTCCATCTGCTGGTACACTTTTCATACTCTCTGGATCTTTTACATCAACTTCTTCCATCATAATGTTGTGAACCCCTTCACGAATTTTCACATCCACGTCTTGATTTGACTTGGAGAAATGCTCATCTTGAAACTTCCAAGGCATCGATATCATTGGACCAAGTGCTTCACTCATACCATATGCATGATTGATAGTAAATCCTAACTTTTCGAGTTTGATCAGAATTTCGGGCTGTGGCAGTACCCCTGCTACTGTTACGTTCACTTTGTGAGGTAACAGAGGCTGATTTATGCCCATAGCATTTGCAATTTTTGTAAGAATCATTGGTGCACCACAAAAATGTGATACATTGTGAAGGTAAATTGCATCCAAAATGTCTTTTCCATTGATTTCACTTAGGCAAACATTAGTGCCACCCAAAGCAGCAATTGTCCAGGGGAGACACCACCCGTTGCATCGAAACATATCCACTGTCCAGAGAAAAACAGGGCTTTTTCCCATTTCGTATCGAAAAATGTCAGCAATTGTATTCAAATAAGCAGCTCTATGGCTATACACAGCCCCTTTAGGCTTCCCTGTTGATCCAGAAGTAAAATTGATCGAAATCGGATCAAATTCATTTTTCGGATGCATAATCTTGAAATTAGGCTGCCCCATTTCAAGAAGTGTTTGGTAATCCAGAATTTTTGATGGCCCTGATGATGACACTGGTGGTTTTGTTACATTGTTTCCTTCATGGATTAAGACAATTAGACAAGATTTGTCTTTTTCTTGAAGAATGGCAAGTGCTTGAAGCACTAGTTCAATGAAATCAGAGTATACAAAAATGATTTTGGCCTCCAATTGTTGGAGTTTTTGAGCCAATGTGGTGGCATCTAGCATTGTGTTGAGTGCAGAAAGGACTGCACCAGCCATTGGTACACCAAAATGTAGCTCATATTGTGCTGCTACATTAGGTGCCACCGTTGCCACCTGTTTGTATTAGTTAAGATTAATAAGCGCATAAATTAAGCTTGTTTTAATTAGTTACGTATGACAATATAAGCTACAAATAAGAGCAAAGAGAAAAACGAAAGAAGGTTTGGACTCAGCGTAACAACTAGAATTTGAAGTTTATGGATTCACAATATAATCTAAGAACTTGTATTATTCAATGAAGAGTGATATATATTATCTTTTTAGAAGAAAAAAAAAGGAAAATTGAAGGCAGGGGAAGGGGAAGGGGAAAAAGAAATGGGGAGTAGATTACTATATGGAGAATCAAATTTTTATCAACAAGCTGAGAGTTCAAGTAGCCAATCAATTGAGCTACTAAGATTTTCGATGAAAAGTGATATTAAAAGTAAATAATAACTCTTTCTTGATTTGTTAATATTAACTAGATAAAATAATAATGAACATATGAGTATTATCTGTTCGAATTTAATACTAACTAGAATTTGAACATGTATATAAGAAAGAGCTAAAACTATTAGGTTACACCGTAATTTTAATTGTGCATCCATATTCCATCCCCAACATTGTTATACGAGAGACATAACAAACTATCTATGTATATTCAATATTTATGTCAAACTAAATTAAATAATATGATTTCGAGAGAGCTTCCAAACAATATTTAAGTCCATTGACTTATTTAGTACTATTGAGCAAGTTCCATGTATCTAGATGTTTTCCTCTGGTCGTAATTACGCATATCAATTGTACCTAGTCATCAATTTATTTATTTTTCATAACGTGGGTCTTTAACACATTGCTAAACGTGACAAAGTCAATAAATTGTACAATTTTAAATCACAGCCAGGACAGGCTCATGCAGAATGAGGGAAAAAAAGATACAAGTACTAAGGAGTTTTGATTATAATATAACACTAATATAAGAAAAGAATTAAATTCCCCCTTCAAGGTGTATCATCATGTGCATATATGCTCTGCTCTAAAATATTAAATTTGATGTGACACGTATTTAATTACAATTTGAGACGAAGACTTGTGGTCTAGCTCATTTGTTAAATAAAAAA